TTCACTGCAGTCAGTCATTGGAGTCGTGGCTGCACTTCATTAAAAAGGAGCTTGGAGTGCTCAAAACAGCACTGCCGCAGATGTTGCACAGTGGGTCAAATGGTGAATGTAATGTCGATTAATCAAAATTATCAAGTTATGCTCAAATTTGCATTATTTTAGTTTCTTAAACCATTTTAAAATGTTATACATAGCTCGTCTTCAGATTGAACTGCACTTCATAATAAGAAAGAAGAATAGTTCTAAATGCAGTACGAAGTTGGATAGTCCTTGTGCTTTTTTATGTGTCTTCGGCCATTATGTAAGACCAATCGTCATAATTTCCTTCGAAATATGTAATAATATGATTGCGGATTTGACGCTCCAGCAGAAATCAAGTTCAATGTGGTCCAGGTGTGGCGATGGTATCGTTTCTAGCATTATAGCGCTTCTGTCTAGGAGTTATTCGCCAGACAGCTATAAATGTAGCAGAATTTTGTGCGTTGAGAGATTTAATTCAAATATTTAATTTTGTATCAAAATGTAATCTTGATTCTTTTTTCAACATTTAATTCCACATGAGGAATAGTCAACATTTCAAACGAAGTTTGTGTTTTGGACTGTTGGTTGTTCTGCTGTCTTCCATCCCTAATTTTCTTGCATTTTGGTGCAAAGTTGCGTTTTGTGTGGAAGGTAATTAACCCTTGTGATCCATTATGGTCTATATATAGGAAATAATGCCAATTCCGTGACTTAACGGTCGCGCGAGCTTTGCTAGATCTTGAGCTTGTAAGTGTTTGTATTTATAACTTGGTGCGCATAATAAAACCCATCTTTCTTAAAGTTAGCTGTTTAGGCCCACAGTGCGCCATCCTCACTTTCGTTGTTACAAATTGTAGGTAGAGCGGCATATATAGGAGTAGTAGAGCCATCAGAAGGCGGCACGATGAGTGATGCAATGTGCAGAGCACCTCGGCAAGGATTCTAGAGGTGCGCGCCTACTTGGCTCATTGTCGTTCGCTTGTTGACATAACGAATGTCTTAACATTTTTTTAGAGTTATCCGACCCGACACGACACGACCCGCGCATTTGTTGTGCGCACTTCCGCTCCACTTACGCACAACTCGCCGCCGCCGCCGCGCCGCTTCGTTCTGACGCGGTTTCCGAGTTAATGACACTGCCAGCTGCTGTCAGTTGCGCCGAGGCGTGCAAAAATCATTTTTCTCGCACATTTTTTACACCCCAACAACATTTATATATATTTTTCATTTTTCACATTTTCCACATTTTCGTACAGGCTGAAAATTGCCTATAACTGTCTCGTTCATGTGTGTGTGTGTGTGTGTGTTTCTGGCAGGCAGTTGTTATTATTGCTGTTATAGTGGGAGTTTTCCATTCCAGGAATTTCTGCCCGCATCCAATCGTACATGCAGATTTAGTTAAGTTTCAATTAAAACTGAACCTCCAATTGAAGTGCTCATTAAAATGCCGATCTTCAGCGTATAAACAAAATTCATATTTTAAATAAATATCAATATTAATTAAATGTGAACATAAAACCAACATATTTGATGAAAAAGTCTATTTAAATCGATGAGGAACGATTTATTAATCAGTCCGGCAAGCCCATCAGGAATGGGTAAAAAATTTGTATTTGTATTAATGTCCGTTTTGAAACAAAATAGTAAGTTTTAAGTTTGCTGAATTAATAAATTCAATTTAAATCAATTATACCGAACTGTGTTTTATGCATTGGTTCTCCATGCAAGGATTTCTTTAAGATTCTTAAACATGTAAGTATTAACAATAAAAAAAGAAAACAATGCAATAACGGGTCTATGGAATACATACATTATATGTACATACACTGCCGCTCAACTGAATAGGTTCAACGATCTTTTCAACCAAATCGTCGATTTTGATCAAATAAAATTTTGTAGGAAGAATAGTTTATTGTTAATAAAACAGCAAAGTTTGGGGCTTAAAGCAAATTGTTTTCCATTATTTTTTGAAGTTTTTTCAAAAACATAACATTAAATGCCTATTTTTTTGGCTCAATTGAATAGGTTCAGTAACTTAAAAACTGAAAACGTAAATAATAAACGCGTTTTCATGGCTTTAGTAACTTAAAACATAAAAATAAACTAATTACGAGTAAATTAGTAATTAGTACAACCATCTTTGGTTGTAATATCTTCAAAGATTCAATCTCTTAAGGACATATAATAATTTTCTAGGACTGTAATCGATATAGTAGCGCAGGATTTTTGTATGGCGTCAATTAGGCTCTCAGTGTCGTTAAATTGTCGCCCGCCTTCGTATACTTTTCGAGGCAACAATCCCCAAGTGTTTTCGATAGTGTTTAGGTCAGGTGAATATGGCGACCACTCGAGCAACTCAACATTTTGGTCCTTGATTTACCACTTTTGCGGTATGATTGGGACCGTTGTCTTATTGATACAACCATGGAATTGGTCCTAAAATATTAGAAAAATGTGGAAATGCCTTTTGGATCACAGTTTTCTACACATTTGCATTCATTTTTGTTCACACAAACTGAAGCTCACACGTCTCATAGTACGAAATCGCACCCCACACCATTACGCCGCCTATACAACTGTGATTTCGACTCAAAACACATTCTTCCTTTCATAAGGTGGGATAGTAGAAGTTATAGCCATCCGGTACTTCCAGGCTGAATTTTTTTCCATCGTTAAAACTACCTTCTACCATTGATTGTCCCAGGACATGTGCTTTCTGGCAAATCGTAAGCGTGTCGACTCACGTATGTCATTGAGAGGTGGTTTTCTTTTTATTTTTAGTCTCTTCAAATGCTTGGCACTCCGAATAATCCGTTTTACCGTTGACAAACTTGCGGTTACACCGCATTCCTCCCTGATTTTAGCCGCAGAACGTTGGGAATTAGAGGCGGTTCTAAGGATTAGTCTCCTGTCAGCTGGAGTTGTCGCATGTGGAGACTCTCCTTTCATATTTTTCCCGTAAAATTCTTCATTGCGCACAAAATTACCAACAACATTTTGACTTCTTCCAATTATCAGTGCTATTTCGCGCTGATTTGGGCCGGAATTGAACTAACCTTTTCTTTGACCTTTTTCAAAGTCATTCAATTGTTTTCCGCGAACCATTCCACCAAAAAACAACGGTAAATACTTCTAATTACAATTAGAAAAAAAGTTGACACCATTAACTTCACGCTGTCGATCACAAAGTAAAACTGAAGTAATTGAACCTATTCTGATGAGCCAAAAAAATGCAGCGTTTTTAGGCAATGTAAAACGAAAGAAAATTTCCTCAACTACCGTTTGAAAAATCCCGTTACTTGTTTATGCTATATTAAATGTAAACAAATAAAGGTTCACAACATATAATTTTAAACAAGATAGAACGCTACAGTCGAGCAAGCCCGACAGTAAAATAGCCTGTACTCTCCACAAAAAAAAAAAAATTTAAAAAAAAAAATTTTTTAAAAAAATTAAATTATTAAAAAAAGTTAATGAATTAATTAATTAAATTAAATTAGAATACATGTTTATGTTCAGTTTTAACAGCATACATTTACATCACGTACCTATGCGTGTTTATATGCGTGTATGTATGCAGCAAAAAGTTGAACCAAAGCAGTAACAACAACAACAGCTGCGGGCAGCGCTGCCGACAGAGCTGCAGGCAGCGCATTAGCAGCGATTTTACTTATGGCTATAACTTTCTTCAGAATTGACCTATCATGATGAAATTTTACCTACCAAAATTGATTTCAAAATTCCGAGAATTACGGAAGTTATAAGAAAAAACACGAATTGCGGGGGAGTGGGGGGGGGGGGGGGGGTGCATCGAAAAAAAAACTCAAACTTGTACTTTCTCGGTCTTAGGAGAATATGGAAACCAAGTTTGGTTATTCTAGCTCTTATACTTTCTGAGATCCTTGCGTTCATACTGACAGACGGACAGACAGACGGACAGACGGACGGACGGACAAGGCTATATCGACTCGGCTTCTCATCCTGATCAAGAATATATATACTTTGTGGGGTCTGCCACGCCTCCTTCTGTGTGTTACATACATGCGCACAAAACTAGTATAGCCTTTCACCCTTTGGGTACAGGCTATAAAAATTTATGTGCAGTACAAGCTGAAATATTGGACGAAATTAAGGCAGCATTCTTTGAACCTATTCAGTTGAGCGGCAGTGTACATATAGCTAAATAATCCTTGAACATATGTATTTGATAAATTGAATTGATCATTTACTGCAATCAAATATGAAGCAAAATCCAATTTTAAAATCATTCGAAATTTGGTAGCAGTAGTTCCGACAGTGCCAGTGGTTTCGGGTGTGAGTCACCTTTGAAAAACCAGAAGCTGCACCCGGAAAAGGGTCGCTTTAGTGCCCCATAGATGGGTGACTGCGTTAGTTAGTTCAAATTTTATGACAATCGTATGGATAGCTGCCGAGCTATTGCACACTGCTGAGGCACCGCGCTTTTTCGATGTCTTTATTACTTGTAAGTCGATAGTTTTTAGATTTTCTCTATTTTACTGTCCGGCTTGCTCGACTGCAGCATTCTCTCTTGCTGCTTTTTCACTTCTCCCGTATGTTTTACAAAAGTTAATCTGCTGTTACTTTACTACTTACCTCAAGAATGCATGACGTCTTCTTTCGTTTTCCGCCAATTAAGTTATAAATGTTTTAGTAACGAACCTATTGCATGGCATTTATTTCCAATGAAGTTGTCTAAAAGCCCTCACATGAAAGTCTTTGCCGTTTTCCTCACATTTCTAGTTGTAGGTAAGTCATCTTGCGGCCCGAAAAAAAAACAGTGTTGACTGTAGCCTTTGATTCTAGGGATTGCAGAAAAGGGTACGCCGATCCGAAAAAATGGTGAGAATGGTTGGTTCATTCTCCAACGTAAGAACCAAATCAAATGGTCACCTAAGCCTGCTGCGTTGAGTTTTCTGCGTGCGCAGGACGTTGATAAAACTTTGGAAAATAACAAAGTAATGTTTTATCTGTACACGAAGCTGAACCCTGGCAAAGGACAACGGATTGAGCCCACAAAGGAATCGATGGCGCAATCAAAATTTGACAGAAAGGTGGAGACACGAATTGTAATTCATGGCTGCAATCAGAATCACGAGGACCAAAAGATATATAGAGTCGCCAGCGCCTGGTTGTCCAGAGGGGAGTATAATGTGATTATCGTTAACTGGGGTTCGGGCCGTTTAGTTTACATACCAAGTGCGGCGGCTGCGCCTGCCATGGGTAAAAAGATTGCGGAAATGATCAATTTTCTGAGCACGGATTATGGCCTTAAGTTGCAAAACCTAACGGTAATTGGATACAGCTTAGGCGCCCATATCGCGGGATTTGCTGGCAAATTTGTCGAGGGTGGTCGCATTCGCACCATTGTCGGCTTAGATCCCTCCTTTGCGCTATTCAACGATGTGGACGAGAACCATCGTCTATCTATTAAGGATGCCTTGTATGTGGAGATAATGCACACAAATGCCGGATTCTTAGGCATTGCGGAGCCTATTGGTCATGCAGATTTCTATCCCAATGGAGGATTATCACAGCCAGAGTGCGATCATGAATGTGCCCATCAAAGATCGCTGGAATACTATGCTGAGGCTGTGGCTAAAGAATGTTTTGGCTCAGTCCGATGTCCCAACTATACCGAAGCTTTGAGAAGAAAGTGTGGAGGAGTTCCAGGCAATGTGCTGTAACGCTTGCAGCAGCAACTGTTTTGTTAAATCAGTTTAATAGGCGAATATCGTAATTTTTCTTAGCGCCACCTCTTGGTCGTATGATGGAAAGGCGCAAGCAGGTCAATAGGGTAACTCCTTGCTTAACAGGTGCAAGTGTCACTTTCGCCGAAAATGGCTACTTTCACCTCGCTGACCTACCGCCTCTGTAAAAAGGTTCCCGCCTGGTCCAAGGCGTCAGATGCTTTCTTTTTCTGGTGATACTTGGCCGAGATCAGACGTGTGCAAATTGCAGTTCAAAGTTTTTTTTATATCCGAGTCGAAGAAAAATTTTAAAGTCGCCAAAAAGAGCGTATCCAGATTGGTTTTATAAAAATAAAAAAAAATAAAAAAAAATAAAACAAAGGCCCACACAAAGGCCAGTGATAATATTGAGCTATTTTCGCCGGATGCCAGCCCTTGATCGTATTGGAGGGTTTCTGAAACCGAAGAGCAGTCCATTGCATTGGCATTTGCAATAAACGGCAGCCGCCAGCAGCATTAAAATTCTAAAAGACGAAATCACTCAAGTTTTGGACCCTATGTTCGACGCAGCAGAACTACCGCAGGCGATCGTCCGACCCACCTGAGTGCAACTCAGTCTTCTATCGTACGCGAAGCAGCTACCAGCGCCGTCGTATCCACGCTGCTAAATTTTACCCGCGTCGGCTTCATTGTTGTGTTTGGTTTAAATAAAAAGGTTGAGTGCAGCTAAGACGTGTGGCCCTGAGCAAAGGGAAAAGGCAGTAGTGGCTAAATTTTTGGTTGTTGGAAAAAAAACGATATAATGGCCAGCCAGAATCAACTTCTCCATAGGTTAAATTTTCATTATATTTATATTTAAAGTTCTATTTAGTCATACAGTTTTTTTTTACTGTTAATCTTGGTTCAGACCATTTATATTACATTGGTCGATGTCATTAATTTTACTTTGTGTAGGCATAGGGAAACACATGGCCGAATTTTAATTATTAGTTTATCTTGGTTCTCGAAATCCGAAGAGAGGCCGTATCTTCGAATATTGAAGAGGAAGAGGAGTACCGTTTTTTTTGTATGTTTTGTTGAGTGTTTTCTTTCGAGTGAGTTTTTTTTGAGTACAGCAAAAGAAAAAGAAACGAAATTCTGTTTTGTGTCCACACAGATGGTTGGATTGTATTCCCATCATCTAAGATTTTCCTTTTCAGCAGCGGTCTCATCGGGAAAGTACTTTCAGCGATGGATAACGCCAAGTAAGTTATTTTTTTTGCAAATTATTTTTTTTGTTATTATTTTTTTTGCGAATCACGTAACAAAAAAAAAAACTCAACTAAAGAGGCAAAACTCAGAACATATAGTTTCATTACTTAGCTTAACTGATTCAATTCTTTTTTCTTGCATCATTTTTCTACTGCCATTTTGTTTCCATGCCGAAAGTTTTTTTCTAATTTAATAATTCATAAGAATGTATATTTTTCATTTTGGTTATACCTTTATAAATCATTTTTGAATTCTATTTATTTTTCATATTCATTTTTTTTATTACCTTTTATCTATATATTTTAAGCATTCATATACATACACATTTAATTTCATTTATATTATACCTATTTAATTGTTATTTATAATTGGTTGTCATGCACTTCTTATTTTTCCACGTTCGTTTTTTTTTGTGAATAAATTATATTTTATAATGTTTTAACTTAACTTCTTTTGATCAATGCTAGTCATGCCGCCCCTGTAGGTCTCCCGGAAATTTTAGGGGTCATTCTAATAGTTAGTCCTTATTTTTTTGGTAAGGAATGACCATGGTAGGGAGGGCAGTTCACCTCAATAACACCTGAGGGTCGCAGTTCACCTCATTAACACCTGAGGGTCGCAATTTTCGTTTTATGTTTGTTTTCCCTCTTACTATCCTGTGTGTGTATTACCGCAACTTTTCCGCTTGTCTGCACGCATCTTTTTTTTAAAGAAATATATATGTATAGGCAAACCATAGGCGAGAAGCAAGATCACCACCCCACTTGCCGACGAGCCAGAGCCGGAAAAATTTCGCGTGCGCTCTCACCTATGCCCACCATCTAGCCTGGATTATATACGTAACCCGTTACAGTTATGAATTATAATATACAATAATATTATTTAAAATGGCGCCCAACGTGGGGCATACTTTATCTAGACCTTTATAAATTTTTTCTAGAACTCACATTCAGATAAAGAAGCCCATAATCTCATAGAGGCTCACATACACACAATGTTCTTTTCTTTATTTTCATTTTCAATTTTCCTAAATTATAGCAGTAACATTGGGTTGGAGACACTTTGTAGTTCAGCTACCTATCTTCTGTCTTTTCAACCACGGTTGGTGTTGCCGCTAAAATTTATTCTTCCTATGAGTTATTTGATCCCTCATTTAGACGCATAGGATACGCAGGTATTTAAATTTCCAGTAGTTGAATACCTGACCACGGCTGAAAGTAGGAGAAAGTAATTCAGAAAGCTTTTCTATTTGAACAAATTTCCTTTGAGTTTTAATTTTGCTATTCAAGACGCATAGGATATGCAGATGACTTTGTTATTAGTAACGAATCAACTGACCACGGCTGAAAGGCGAAAGAAAAGACTCAAAACAAATCTATAGGTAAACTTTATTTGTAGTTTAAATGCATAGGATTTTGCAGTGTGATTTTCTTTTATAAGAATTCCTCTGACCACATTTAAATTATTTAATAAATCAAAAACCAAATCTTTTCCTTTAAAAAAAAAAAAAAAAATATTTCAATATGTAAGTTGCTTTGGATGACAAATTGAGTTGATAAATGTTATCACCATTTGGCCACAGCTTACTCATGTTGTTGTTGTTGCGCGAAAAATAAGAAAGAAAAAAAACGGACAGGTCTACCGCAATTGATTCTATTGGATCAGCTGTGGACGATTGTAATGACTTGTCGCCGCCAGCATCAAACGTAATATTTTACTTTTTCTTTTCGACGCAAACGTAAACAAATCTGCTAATTTGCTGATAAGGGATTCATGCAGGGAGCATTGACTAAGCAAAAGATCAATTTATGTTTATGCTTTTTGTTCTTCTTGATATTTATTTGTTGATTTACAAGTACCGCAATAGTTTTTATTGTTTACACGTTTTACTTTAGGTCTTAGCATAATTATTATTTGTTTAGAATTACACTCATTTCGCTCAGGTTGTGTTTGCAGTTTCGTTCGCATACAGAGAGCAGTTGAAGAGATTAGCGAATAGCGGCTCCAAGGGTTATTGACCTTGCCCTTGAAATTGCTTAGATCAGCTGTTTTGTATTTCTGTTATTTTTTTTTGCTCTTAATAAGTTCTGTTGTTTATCATGGGTGTCGATCATTCGGATGAGGAGGCAGGCACAAATGCCCAATCTACAACACAGTGTCATATATGTAAAAAGAGCATAGCAGCAACGACTGGCTACACGACTACTTGTGGCCATGAATTTCATAAAAAGTGCATTATGGCTCATGCACGCACATCAAATACTTGCCCATTCTGTGTAGCTGTTTGTTTCAAAAGCCAACCAGACACAATAGCGCAGAATACCAGGCAACAAGTCAGATTACACGAAACGTATGCAACTCAAGACGACATACCGGGTACTAGTAGATCAGCAGAACAACGGAATAGCACGAATTCCCAAGAAAATTCTATCGTTCCTATAGTGGCTCAGGCAGTTCGAGCCATGCAAAATGACCTTTTTAGCCAATTGTCAGCTCAAATAGCTCAGTCGATACGGACCAACATAGCAGAACAGATGAGTTCTTTAGTGGCTCAGACCCAAAACCAGGCTCAAAATACTCGTAGAAATAATAATGAGCAAGAGGCGCAACGCAGTCAGCGCGAGTCAATGTCTGTGGTATTTCCTACTGGAACACCAACTTCGCACAGCGATTTAACGTATCGTCCAGATAAAGTTGGTCATATTCTGAATAGTTGGAAGTTACGCTTCAATGGAAATCCGGAGGGCATTAGTGTCGATAATTTTATATATAGAGCTGAGGCAATGACACACCAAACTCTAGAGGGAAATTTTGCACTTCTTTGTTCTAATGCCAGTTTGCTTTTTGAAGGAAAGGCACGAGAATTTTATTGGCGGTTCCATCGAACTACTCCTTTGGCAAGGTGGGACTTACTTTGTAACGCACTTCGAAAACAATATCGAGATTCGCGTACAGATGTAGACATTCGAGAGGCTATCAGGGATCGAAAGCAGCGGGAAAAAGAAAATTTCGATTCATTTTATGACGCAATAGTTCAGCTAATGGATAGTTTAGAAAGTCCTATGCCTGAAGAGATTGTTGTCGAAACACTACGTCGAAACTTAAGGCCCGAAATAAGGCACGAATTATTAAACATTCAAATAAATTCGGTTAGCCGCCTGCGTGAAATTTGTCGCCGTCGCGAAGCGTTTTTAAAAGACGTAAAGCGAGATTATAGCTATCAAAAAACAGTTCCTTTTAGAAAGCAAGTTTCTGAGCTGGTAGAGGATAGTGAAACTGAGGATGCCGCAGAATTTTCTGACATGGAGAGCGAAGGCGAAATTGGCGCAATGGCTCTAGTTTGTTGGAATTGTCGTAAAGAGGGGCATCGATATCAAGATTGTGAAGCTAAGCGTAGAGTTTTTTGTTATGGTTGTGGTGCTAAGAATACATATAAACCAACTTGCACCAAATGCTCAAAAAACTCGAGGTCGAACGCACCGGCTCGGCAGCACCCGTGTGTTCAGAGCAGCAAATTAACGAATGCCGAATAATTACCGATGAAAACACAAGTACAGCTAGTTCTACGTTGTCACTTTTGCATTGGCCGCAAAAGTACAAAAACTTTGTAGATATATTTAATTTTAAAAACTTAGGTAGAAGAAAATCAGTTTCTAGAAATGCAAAACGCATGCGCGCGTATTGGCAATCTGCAAAAACAATAAATGCCATTCGCTATAAAAATAATGATAAGCGCCCGTATGCTGAAGTTCGTATGCTGGATAGAATTGTGCTTGGATTAATGGACACTGGCGCAGCTATTAGTTGTGTAGGTGGTCGATTGGCAGAACAATTAATACGAAGTAGATTCAATTTCAAAAGAATTATAAGTTCAGCTTGTACCGCAGATGGAAAAAAACAAGAAATTGTAGGTCGTTTTAAAACTGCAATAAAATACAAAAACGAGACGAAAGATATAGAGTTGCATATTATTCCTTCCTTAAGTCAGGATCTGTACCTTGGAATCGATTTTTGGACAACGTTCAATCTTTTGCCACCGGACAGAGAAATTTCCGAACTGTCATCAGATTCTCACAACTTATTGGGTTTACAAAAGGAAAGCCTTCAGGCAGTAATTGACAAATTTCCTTCATTTGTAGTTTCTGGTCTTGGCAAGACTTCGCTCATATCGCACATAATTGACGTTGGTGATGCAAAACCAATTAAACAGCGTCATTTTCCTATTTCTCCGGCACAAGAAAAACTTCTATATGCGGAGATTGATCGCATGCTTGAGCAAGGAGTTATAGAAGAGTCAGACAGTGCTTGGTCTTCGCCAGTTGTGTTGGTACAAAAGCCAGGAAAATTTCGTATTTGTTTGGATAGCAGAAAAGTCAATGCTGTATCGCGAAAAGACGCGTATCCGCTTCCACAAATTGATGGCATTTTAAGCCGTTTGCCAAAAGCAATGTTTATATCAAGTCTAGATTTGAAAGATGCCTACTGGCAAATTCCGTTAGATGTTTCGTCGCGAGATAAAACAGCATTTACGATACCGGGTAGGCCGCTTTACCAGTATAAAGTCATGCCATTTGGTTTGACCAATGCTGCCGCAACAATGACTCGTCTAATGGATAAAGTTATTCCACCATCGCTCAGAAATGAGGTATTTGTTTATTTGGACGACTTGTTAATTGTGTCGAATAGTTTTGAGTCGCACTTAAAGGTTTTGACTCAAGTTGCTGAGCGAATCAAATCTGCTGGTTTAACACTAAACGTAGAAAAGAGCAAATTTTGCATGCGCTCGGTTAAATATTTAGGACATATTATAGGTGAAGGTGTCATTCGTACAGACCCAGAAAAAATTTCAGCAATGACAGATTTTCCAATTCCTCGTACACTCAAAGCTCTAAGGAGTTTCTTGGGAATGGTTGGATGGTACCGCAAGTTTATTAGCAATTTTGCCGCAATATCTGCTCCACTTACAGATCTGTTAAAGCCCAGACAGAAATTTATTATGACTCCAGAGGGTGAACAATCATTTGTAAAATTAAAGCAGTTGCTTTGCTTAGCACCAGTGCTACGCAGTCCCGATTTCAGCAAGCCTTTCTTTATACACTGTGACGCTAGCAAAACTGGAGTCGGAGGTGTCTTGGTTCAAAAGACTGAAGATGGAGATGAATATCCCATAGCTTTTGTTTCGAAAAAACTTAACAAGGCTCAAAAAAATTATACTGTAACTGAGCAAGAATGTTTAGCAGCTTTAGTATGCATTAAGCGTTTTCGTGCTTATGTTGAAGGTCACGAATTCACGGTGATAACCGATCATGCGTCCTTAAAGTGGCTCATGTCACAACAAGACTTACATTCTCGTCTTGCTCGATGGGCACTAAAACTTCAAGGTTTTAGATTTAAAATTGAACATCGAAGCGGTAGATTGAATATTGTTCCAGATGCTTTGTCTAGGGTGCACGATGACGAAATAGCTGCGATAGAGGCCAGTAATGGTTTGTTAGTCGACTTGGAATCTAAATTTTTTAAGTCCGATGACTATACTGAGCTCATGGAACGCGTTAAGGCAAATGCAGACAAATTACCCGATGTTAAAGTGGTTGAAAATTTTGTGTACCGTAGATCAGACCATGCAACGGGAGACCAGTTGCATGATTCTTTTGGTTGGAAGTTATGGATTCCTAAGGAATTAGTTTCAGAGGTTTTGAAAAACGCACATGACCACCCGTTAGCTTCTCACGGTGGAGTGCATAAAACTTTGGAAAGGATACGAAGGTATTATTATTGGCCAGGCTTAGTGAACGATGTGAAATGTTACATAAATTCTTGCGAAACATGTAAAACGACTAAAGCGCCAAATACAGTTCAGCGTCCGCCAATTGGAAAGTCCCCAGAATCACAGAGATTCTTTCAAAGGTTGTATATTGATTTCTTAGGCCCGTACCCGCGTTCTCGTAGTGGAAATATTGGTATTTTTATTGTTATGGACCACTACACCAAGTTTGTTTTTCTTAAATCAGTGAAAAAACTGACTGCAGATGTTGTCGTGAAATATATGCAACAGGAGCTTTTCCACACATTTGGAGTTCCAGAGACAGTTGTTTCAGACAATGGTTCGCAATTTAAGGCTGAAGCTTTTCAAAAGTTGCTTCGGGACAATCAAGTTGTTCATACATTGACAGCTGTATATTCGCCACAGGCTAATGCGTCCGAGCGTGTAAATCGCTCAATTATTGCTGCTATTCGTTCTTATATAAGGCCAGATCAAAAAGACTGGGACGAGCATTTGAGCAGTATAAGTTGTGCTTTAAGGTCAGCAGTTCATTCCGGAATTGGTGCTACTCCATATTATATGGTGTTCGGTCAACAATTTTTAAATTCGGGTTCAACCTACAAATTGTTGAGACACTTAAAATTGCTAGAAGATAAAGCAGCTGTTTATAGCAAGGAAGATTCTCTCGAACTTATACGAAGCAAAGCATGCGAGGTAATGCGAAAACAAAATGAGAAAAATGAGCGCAATTACAATTTACGCTCAAGAGCAGTTTCGTATAGGGTAGGTCAGGAAATTTACCGGAGAAATTTTCGACAGAGTAATTTTCAAGCTGGCTATAACTCAAAATTGGGACCTGCCTATATCAAAGCCCGTGTTCGACGTAAAATTGGCAATTGCTATTACGAGCTGGAGGATCTCCAGGGTCGATTTGTTGGCAAATATCACGCAAAAGACTTAAAGCAATAGCTGCTTCAAGCTTAGGTGTGATCAGCCTTGATGTTTTTTTTAAAAAAACCACCAAGTCTGATTTTGGTGGGGGGCATTTGTAACGCTTGCAGCAGCAACTGTTTTGTTAAATCAGTTTAATAGGCGAATATCGTAATTTTTCTTAGCGCCACCTCTTGGTCGTATGATGGAAAGGCGCAAGCAGGTCAATAGGGTAACTCCTTGCTTAACAGGTGCAAGTGTCACTTTCGCCGAAAATGGCTACTTTCACCTCGCTGACCTACCGCCTCTGTAAAAAGGTTCCCGCCTGGTCCAAGGCGTCAGATGCTTTCTTTTTCTGGTGATACTTGGCCGAGATCAGACGTGTGCAAATTGCAGTTCAAAGTTTTTTTTATATCCGAGTCGAAGAAAAATTTTAAAGTCGCCAAAAAGAGCGTATCCAGATTGGTTTTATAAAAATAAAAAAAAATAAAAAAAAATAAAACAAAGGCCCACACAAAGGCCAGTGATAATATTGAGCTATTTTCGCCGGATGCCAGCCCTTGATCGTATTGGAGGGTTTCTGAAACCGAAGAGCAGTCCATTGCATTGGCATTTGCAATAAACGGCAGCCGCCAGCAGCATTAAAATTCTAAAAGACGAAATCACTCAAGTTTTGGACCCTATGTTCGACGCAGCAGAACTACCGCAGGCGATCGTCCGACCCACCTGAGTGCAACTCAGTCTTCTATCGTACGCGAAGCAGCTACCAGCGCCGTCGTATCCACGCTGCTAAATTTTACCCGCGTCGGCTTCATTGTTGTGTTTGGTTTAAATAAAAAGGTTGAGTGCAGCTAAGACGTGTGGCCCTGAGCAAAGGGAAAAGGCAGTAGTGGCTAAATTTTTGGTTGTTGGAAAAAAAACGATATAATGGCCAGCCAGAATCAACTTCTCCATAGGTTAAATTTTCATTATATTTATATTTAAAGTTCTATTTAGTCATACAGTTTTTTTTTACTGTTAATCTTGGTTCAGACCATTTATATTACATTGGTCGATGTCATTAATTTTACTTTGTGTAGGCATAGGGAAACACATGGCCGAATTTTAATTATTAGTTTATCTTGGTTCTCGAAATCCGAAGAGAGGCCGTATCTTCGAATATTGAAGAGGAAGAGGAGTACCGTTTTTTTTGTATGTTTTGTTGAGTGTTTTCTTTCGAGTGAGTTTTTTTTGAGTACAGCAAAAGAAAAAGAAACGAAATTCTGTTTTGTGTCCACACAGATGGTTGGATTGTATTCCCATCATCTAAGATTTTCCTTTTCAGCAGCGGTCTCATCGGGAAAGTACTTTCAGCGATGGATAACGCCAAGTAAGTTATTTTTTTTGCAAATTATTTTTTTTGTTATTATTTTTTTTGCGAATCACGTAACAAAAAAAAAAACTCAACTAAAGAGGCAAAACTCAGAACATATAGTTTCATTACTTAGCTTAACTGATTCAATTCTTTTTTCTTGCATCATTTTTCTACTGCCATTTTGTTTCCATGCCGAAAGTTTTTTTCTAATTTAATAATTCATAAGAATGTATATTTTTCATTTTGGTTATACCTTTATAAATCATTTTTGAATTCTATTTATTTTTCATATTCATTTTTTTTATTACCTTTTATCTATATATTTTAAGCATTCATATACATACACATTTAATTTCATTTATATTATACCTATTTAATTGTTATTTATAATTGGTTGTCATGCACTTCTTATTTTTCCACGTTCGTTTTTTTTTGTGAATAAATTATATTTTATAATGTTTTAACTTAACTTCTTTTGATCAATGCTAGTCATGCCGCCCCTGTAGGTCTCCCGGAAATTTTAGGGGTCATTCTAATAGTTAGTCCTTATTTTTTTGGTAAGGAATGACCATGGTAGGGAGGGCAGTTCACCTCAATAACACCTGAGGGTCGCAGTTCACCTCATTAACACCTGAGGGTCGCAATTTTCGTTTTATGTTTGTTTTCCCTCTTACTATCCTGTGTGTGTATTACCGCAACTTTTCCGCTTGTCTGCACGCATCTTTTTTTTAAAGAAATATATATGTATAGGCAAACCATAGGCGAGAAGCAAGATCACCACCCCACTTGCCGACGAGCCAGAGCCGGAAAAATTTCGCGTGCGCTCTCACCTATGCCCACCATCTAGCCTGGATTATATACGTAACCCGTTACAGTGCGAATGGGTGCCGTTAGCAACGATATAACACCTAGAGGTGTTTTTGTTGTGCAGGTGAGGATGAAAAAGCCGTATGGAAAACGCTGCACTAAGAAAAACGGAGCCGAAAACGTAACTAATCGATTGTCTCGCTGATTAGGGTAAACTTTTGGCACGTTTGTAACAAAAATGTAAAAGCTACCACAACACCTTCACTTTCACTTCCAAACTAGTAATATGCAATTTGTATTTCTATCATTAGCGCTTCTAGTAAAAGGTGATCTACCGTAGAGCTCTTAAGTTCGGGTTTTCCTTCAGTCTTGTATAATTTTAGTTATATTTATAGCGCAGTCGTCCCATGAGAAACGAGTTCATGGTGTGAATGGTTGGTACATTCCTCAATTTAATGGCAGTTTTAATTGGATGTACAGGACTGAAGTATTCTCTCTATTATCAAAGTATGAGCTGATCGAGAGGCGTTCAACACAAGAGAAAGAAAGCTTTCATTTATACACACCACAAAATCCCGATATCCCGCAGCATATCAAAATCAAGACAGAATCGATTCAGAAGTCCATGTTCAAGGACTCATTTCAAACACGATTTGTCATCCATGGTTGGAATCAAAAGCACACCAGCAATGGTATGATACAAATCGTAAAAGCGTGGTTAGCCCAAGGCGACTACAATGTGATCGTTGTAGACTGGCAGCAGGCTAGAACTGTAAATTATCTTGCCAGTGCTGCAGCTGTGTCCAAGGTTGGCAAAAGTGTTGGAGCCATGATCCAGCACTTGCAAGATTTCCACGGCCTACAATTGAATAAGTTGATTGTTATTGGCTTCAGTCTTGGCGCTCATGTGGCAGGTCATGCTGGCAAGACCGTTGGCAAAGGCCGGGTTCGACAGATCACCGGCTTGGATCCCGCCATGCCGGTCTTCAACTTCAGAAGTAAAAATGGTCGCTTGTCCATAGATGATGCCTCATATGTTGAGATAATTCACACAAACGGTGGCTTCCTCGGCTTTAAGGAACCTCTTGGCCATGCAGACTATTATCCCAATGGCGGAAGTTCGCAGCCAAGTTGCGACCGTATCTGCTCTCATCGTTCCGCAATTCTTTACTATGCTGAGGCAGTTGGCTTTAACTGCTTTGCCGCACTCCTGTGCAAGGATTTGAAGAGTGCTTTGCAAAAAAATTGCAGCGACAGACCCAGTGCTGTGCGCATGGGCTACTTGGCAAAAGGTCTAGATGATTCCTCAATTTTCTATGTGCCCATAAAAAAAGAGCGGCCATATGGGGTGCTCTGTAATGAGCAGAATAAAGTACAGAGAATGAACAAGCAATAAAAATAGGATGAGCCTTAAGAAGTAAATAATAAGTAACTGACAAAAATGTTTGGAAATAAAGTGAATGCACAATTTTTATAATTATACTCTGTACATGACATGTACAGACAGAAGGAGGCGTGTCAGCCCCCACAAAGCACGTACTATATATGTATATATTCTAGATCAGCATGACAAGACGAGTCGATCTATGTCTGTCTGTCCGTCCGTATGAACACGTGGATCTCAGAGACTATAAGAGATAGAGAGACAACATTTTGCACAAAGATCCCTTCATATCCCTCTCTCCACTTGTTTATTATTAATTTTTTCAGCATTCAGGAAAGTATAGATAGCGAAGACGTTAGATGTTAAATTTATTGCTTTGATAACCTGAAACTGTATTTCAAATGTATATAAAATGTATTTCAAACCAAACTGACGGTTTATTTTAGGTCTTTATTTGTGCAGTTGTAATTCTATATGAAATACTACTCGTATTCCAGACCTAATTATTATAAAACGGTTCTGCGATAATATGCAGTAGCCAGTTGCTTCGCTAAATACATATCATATCAAGAAAAGTCTACACTTTAGTAATCCTAAAAATTAATTCTTTTGATCTGATATTTTCCCCCTTTTGTGGGCTGAATTTTCGTTCTACACTAAACAACACATTTAAAACTAAATTAACTTTTCAAAGAAACATATTGGACTATATAGTACAATAAATAAAAAATAAGGTTAAATAAAGAATTATGCCATTTATAGGAGATTTGGCAACCAATAAACCTAATTATTTAAAAAGTATTCTGAAAACCATTGAACCCCTCTCGTGACAAGAGATCAGTAATCATATAATCAATCAGGCTGGAATATAAAATGTTGCGCTACTTAGATGCGCTTATTCTAATGTACATGAAATTCTTTAGCAAACATTCATCGTTTTGGGTTGCAAAGTAGGTCACTATGAAAGCTTTAGCACTTCTGTTGGCATTACTAGCTTTGGGTAAGTCGCTATAGAACTCTTATAACAAAACCCCGTATTGTTGATTTCCTAATTAAAGTGACGACACAGTCGGCTAATGGAAGGCGAATCAATGGTAAGAACGGTTGGTACATTCCACACGCTAATGGCAGCTTTATTTGGATGAGCATGGGTAGAGTTAACAAGAAAATGGAGCTATATCGAACTATTAAACCACGTGCGGATAGCAAAAGCATATCGTACAAGTTATATACTAGATCACAAATCCAGGATCTTAGACCTATAAAAGCATCCATTAAGAAAACTGATTATGATAGTGCATTGGAAACTCGCATTATTATCCATGGATGGAATCAGAACTATTTGACACCCCGTGTTGCCGCGATGGCCAAGGCTTGGGTATCTAAACGGAACTACAATGTTATTGTTGTAGACTGGAGGGACTCGGAATCAATGCTGTACTTTCCGAGTGTGCTTGCCGTGCCGGGCGTTGGTAAAAGGATTGCAAAAATGATAATGTTTTTAAGCAACAACTTTCAACTTAATTTGAAAAACTTGACTATAATTGGCAACAGTCTGGGTGCTCAAGTGGCGGGTTTCGTCGGAAAAGCTCTCGGAAATGGTCGGGTCCGCAACATAGTCGCCTTAGACGCCGCTGCTCCCCTCTTCGATGAAGATAATGAAAACGACCGAATTAGTGCGCAGGACGCCGCGTATGTCGAGGGGATTCACACCAATGCAGGCCATTATGGGCTAGTCAAACCATTTGGCCACTCAGACTTTTATCCAAATGGAGGAGAAATACAGCCAAATACTAAGGACAAGGCTTTATCTCATAATCGAGCCGTTGATTACTACGTTGAGGCTGTTCGAAATGATTGTTATTCTACGGTATTATGCAAAAGCCTTATAGGTGCCCTCGAAAAAAGTTGTGGAAAGAAACGCAGTAAGGTACGAATGGGATCCATAAGCAATGACCTGCATATAAGAGGAATCTATTACGTACCCGTGAATGCCAAAGAGCCATATGGAGAGCTATGTTCTACGAAAACAATTAAAATTAAACGAAAAAAGAGTAGGATAGCAAAGAAGCTCCAGAAACGGAAGAGAAATAAAAGGCGAAGAAATTAATATAATTGTGTAAGCCACATTGACTTCGAATATCTGTAGAAATATGAATGGAATGCTAATTTGCCATATTAGTTTTTTTTTATAAATTATTGTATTCAAATTAATTAGATACAAAAAATGCATATATAATTTATGTACGTCTATAAATATACTTTTCTTTAATTTACAAATCTATCCATACTTGGTTTTTACAAGTAATTATGTTTCGTTTATTTTTAAGTTTTTTCGACTTTGAAGCATTATATTACTCACAAACAAACAATGAAATCGTTCCTCTTTATAATATTAAAATCACTAAGCTAAGCTTAGTATAGTTGAATTATAGTCCCACCCTCTTCTTCTTATCTATATACAATAATTCTCACCTTTACAGTAATACTATATCCCTAGTTACAGCAGTCATCTAGGTAGATAGCTTCTGGCGCAACAGGTCTTTTATAAATAAATAAAAAGGCATGTGCTATCAATTGAGTTTCCCTCCCCTTCCCTTCAATACTGTCCACATTTCGAATACGCATAATTTGTATACAATTATCTACTTTTATTTCAAATTTTCATATCTAAATCGGTCAATTCTAAGGAGAGTTATTCACTCCAGTATTACGCCCACAAGCTGCAGCATCAAGTTCGCTCCTCTTCTTCCTTTGCTTCTATTAGAGGCGCATATAACATAAATTTCACTGTCGTGTTTGCTTGTAGCGTTCTCTCTTGTGTCTTAGTACTTGTATAGTACTTAAGCATGCATACAAGTATTTCTATGCTTTTTCATTTGTGAGTGACACACCTAGTACTAAGTATTTGAAATATATCGAACAATTGCCCTTCGCATTGAACAATGTTTCTGGATCGCGTTATTTACAATGTGGTCATTGCGTTGGGAAATGCAAATAGCCCAGGCGCACATCCAAAAACCACTTGGCTGCAAAATGGCATAGAATTTCGCATTTTTAATTTCGCTCATGGGACTGACATTCCGCAAGCCACAACTGCTGCCAAACAGAGGCGCATCCAAAGGGGAGTGGCTGATCATGTTTTTGTTGCTGTTGCTGCTGCTGCAGCTAGTGGACCGCAAAACTCAATTACATAACCAAAAAGTTGCAAAGCTTGGAGAATTGATTTGCTCGCAAAAGTTTTATTGACAAACACCGAGCTCAGCTATTGTTTGTGGAATGGGCGGACCGCCGACTGATAAAATGCAACGCATTTTGTTGACAATTGCTGACATTTTTGCGACCAACAACAACAATAACAAGAACAATAGCATATTGACGGCATTTCCTTTGTTAGACAGATTGTTTTTGGTTTCCAATTCGCTTACAATTCGCTTGAGCCTTTCCAAGCTTAACAACTTTAAGTAACCGTTGATGGACTTGAATAGTCAATCAGCCGAGAGGTGCTCTCGAACAATTAGAAAGGACGTTGACGTTTACGTTCTAAAGAAGGCATTTCAAAATTGATATTTTGAAGATGATATTTTAAAGATGGCATTCCAAAATTGGCATTATAAAGATGATATTCTAAAGACGATATTCTAAGGATGCCATTGCATAGCTTGCCGGACTGTCTAATAAACCTTCCCCAGCCACGTTAGTAATTTTCCAGCTTTGAACCTTTAATTATATTTTATCTTTTATTATTTAAGAATTTTAATTTATCATTATTTTAATTTTATATACTTGTTTTTGGATTTTAATTGCAGTTTCTTCATTTCCATTTCTTTTTTGTTGGGAATCGGGGAATAGCATATTATTATTATATTTTTGTAGTTTCTTAGGCTTATTTGTTCCTCGGTTTTATTTGGGAGATGCCAGTATGATTATTGATTAATGATTATGTGTCGAAAATATTATATACTATATTATAACATTCTAGCTCGATTTTACTTCAAAGCCATTGTGTGCATTGATTGAAATATTCTTTTATTTAACCAAGTTTTTGCCCAAAAGATTGGTTAGCCATAATACAAAAATTATTTTGCTTCTAAGTATGTACAAGTATAATAACATCTAGTTTCTTCAACAAACAACAGGAAGCAAATCAATTTTAATAGTCTTTGTTGAATTTTAGTCAATAAAACAATAAATAATAAAGTCATAAAAAAAGGCACTTTGTGTTTTAAATTTGACAAAATTTCTCTTCAAATTATTTGTTTTCTCGACCGAAGCTTTATTGTGAATAAATCGGTATAAACCAAAAGCTATGTAGCCCAGTGCTAAACATAACAAACGATTCAAATTTTTGTCAATCAGCTGGGAGCAACAATTCGGAAAACAATAAAATGTTTATAAACATGCTTGAAGTAAGCTGTGCCAACAAATCTGGTTGTTGTTATTGTTGTTGTTATATTGTTGCCTGCACAGCAAACAAGTTTTTGCTTTATGTTGCTGACATTGCAAATGAATAGACATACGAGTACATATGTACATACAAGTATGTGCGTATGTGTATGTAGGTAAGTATTTATACAGTGTATGAATGTATGTGTATTTGTGCGTTGAGTGTGTGGCTATCAGCACCTAATTTTGGTCGGCAGCTACAACAACGATAACAAGTTGTGTACACAGACGCATAAATTTATGCAGCATGCTCAGTTAATGAACTACTTATTGTCTCTTGTATTTGCATAGTGTATATCAGTATGTGTGTGTTTGTGTGTGTGTGTGTGTGAGTTGGAGTTTTGGTCAAATGCAAAATAAGCTACATACACATAATAATAATTGAATAACACTCCTCCGTCTCTCTGATGAACCGACCATTGACTTGGGCATCAGAGTCGGGTCGGTCCGCAGTTGAACTTCATCTGCTCTGTGCAGTGGTCAGGCCTTGATTGTCAAATGTTTGACCGCATATTATTTCATTTGTTTACCCGATTTGCCAGTTGAGAGTGCTTGCGTATGGCTGTGAATAGAAATTTCTAAAATTAATTTGTGTCGTTTGTGTAAATATTAGTGGCAATTGTACGACTGATACTTATCACGCCTCATGCCGATAGCCGGCCACGAAATTATCATAAATTAACAACAATAACACACATAAACGCTGTGACTGTTTTAATTGCACTTTGTACACAAAATAATTCCATTATAATTATTACTATTTTTCTGTTTTTACCAACGGTGAGTAATTTATTCGCTTGATCGGGTTTCAGGTGAATGAGTAAAGCCATCGAAGGAAAGGGGAAGTGCCGCTTATAATTAGCAACCAAATGTGATATAAATGGGAACACAATATTGTTAGTTCAGGCACACGCTTACTATTCTACTCTATACCTAAATATTTTCTAAATATTTTCTATCCGAAGGGTTAATAGGTATACTAAAAAGTGAATACGCCAAATTCATATAACAAGTGTTATAAGTACCAACATATTTATGATTAGCATGACGAGGCGAATCGATATAGACATGTTAATCTGTCCGTATGACCGGAGATAACTTCTGAACCGTAAAAGCTAGCAACACGGAACTTGTATGTACACTTGTCAAACCATATATAGCCCCATTATTTGATATAGTTGTTATAGAACTCAAATAGGATATTTTTTAAATTTATAAAAAAATCTTTAAACTTTTTCTTTTTAAGAAATCTTGAATAAATCTGAGTTTTATTAATGATTATCGGAATCTGTTAACTATATCATATAGCTGTCATAGTAATCATTGGTATTTTAAACGAAAGACTGTAGCGGGGAAAATGGTGGTTTAGGGTATTAAAGAGTCGGGAAGGCATCACTTTACCTTTCTATGTGTAATTTTTTATTACTCTTAGGTGGTTCTCGTTTTCCCTTATCAAGCATTGCTGATATTTTTTGTAGTATTCGTCACTTTTCGAAGTGCAATTCGAGAATTTTTGTTAAAGCTTTTGAAAAATTGGGTTGCAATCAACCGAAATGAGAAACAAGAAAGGAATGCTAAAGTCGAGTGAGCTGAACTCTTAAATACCCTGTACCTCCTACCAAAAAGAAAAATATGAAAAAAAAAACACAAACTCGATCTGCCTTGGGCTTAGGGGAACCTGAATGCCAAGTTTGGAGATCGTGGCGCTCTTATAGACAGACAGACGGATGGTCGGACAGGCGGTCGGACGGACGGACGGATAGACGAACATAGCTATATCGACTCGACTTGCCATCCTGATCAATAATATATACACTTTGTGGGGTCTGCCACGCCTCCTTCTGTGTGTTACATACATTCGAACAAAACTAATATACCCTTTTACCCTTTGGGTAGTGTTGAAAATGATCCAAATATATAAATTATATACGGAACTGATGTCGGTAAAACTACTTGTTTACTTTTTTAAAAATATTGTTGTTGTTGAAATAGTGTTGAACTTGACTCAAAAAGTACACTAAATTGTGAAATATTTACATATATAGCTTTATCAGCTTAATTAACAATTCAGCTTTCAAAAGGCGTTGCAGAAAAAAAGGTATACAAAATTAATTACATTTTTTTTTTTAATTTCCATATTTTAATTAAAAATTACTAACCAATCTTAACAAATTTGGCTTCAGTTGAATTGGACAATTAATCATTCATTTACTTTAATTGCATTGTTCGGCCCAACCCATATACATTGTATAAACTTTGGACTTTTCAGCCTCTCCTAAAATTCGTTTCAATTGTAACTTTGCAGCACATTTTGGGACAATTATAAATAAAGTACTAGTGTACAGTTCATTTAAATGAATGCCTCTAATGTATTGTATAAATGGGATTGTTTTTTCGAAATGTATTTTACATTTCCTTATGGCAGATATTTCAATTTTAATTTGAACCCAAAATATTCAAATATGACTTAAATGTATTGATCATATCATACAATAAACAACATTTATATATAAATCATACTTGTATATATTTGATCGCGAAAATACTGTCTAATTTCTGACTATACATTTGTGCTCTTAGCTCCATCTTGATTTCTCCAGATTTATATACATTTATTCGATCTCAATAAAACTGGTAAACTGTTTACATATCCCAAGTATTCATTTAACACGCTATAACACGTTTTTTCATTCACTATGATCGGTTCAGTAACTTAGACGCATATTAAATTGTTTACACATATATCTTATTTTTGCTTCAATGATACTAAAAAAAAGGTTTACGGTACTCTGAACGTGCTACTTGTGAGACTAGTTTCTTTCCGCTGAAGGGAATTAAAAAATGAAAAATCACCCAAACACTTTTGTTTAGTTTTCGTGTTTCATCAAGCTTGGACTTTGTATTGCCAACAAATTTGTACAAAAATAATTGAATAAGCTTATTGATGACATGGCCAAAGCGGCAGCAAGTATACATTTTTTGATATAAAGAAAAGGTAATCAAATATTTTATGACTATTGACTATTGGGTCAACCAGCGGGGGTGCGAAGGGCGTGAAAATCATGCTTGACACATCAATAAAGTAAACATCAGCAATATGTGGTTATATTTTGTTAATACCGTGTGAGAATCCGGAGGCACTTATTAAGTATGCGCCCCTTAGCCCTGAGAATATATTAAATGGCCATAAAATTAAAATCAGCAGCGCTAAGCTGACCTTTGTAAGTCATATACTTGTAGGTACTATACTATGTGTGAAAATATAACATAACGAATGCAGTCAGAACGTAGTAGCAATACAAGATTAATTAACATTTTTTGCGTCACAAATAAATTTGAAACTTTTGGCTCAGTCAGTCATCATTTAAATGTCGTCGTCGCAGCACTTTGTGACGAGCAAAGTAAACAATTTTTATACAATATTATAATATTATACATACATACATGTACACACACACTCCTATATTGACAAACTTGTAAATTGACTTGGCAACATGTTGACAAGTGTCGTGAAATGTTGCCAGGGGGATGGGCTGGGGCTGGGGACAAAGTTTGGTGTTTCGTGTTCGCGTGTTTGCCGGTTTCTCAGCTTCGCGTTTCGGTTTCAGTTGCCGCTTATTTTGCAAACTAGGGAGGTCGCCTCGCATTGAACTTGTGAAACAGTTATCCGTATACACATACATAGTTATTTACATACTTAGTTACAGTTGCCCAAGTAGCGGTGGTCGGTCGCCACTCACGTGCGTCACATCGTTAATCAAGCGTGCTGATAATAAGATGCGTAGTGCGTATGCAAAAACAAAAACAAATCAAAACCAAGTCAAAGTCAAGTGTGAAGCTGTGCCGCGCTCAGAGCACAAACATAAATACATACAATACTTGTATAACTGTAAGTGGGTTGCACTAAAAGTTTGCTGAAAACAAACACTAAGGCATAGTGGAGGCTTGTGAAGTTGCAGTTGCATCCCCACAGAGCTATAGTTCTATAGTTGTTTATCAGCACTTTTACAAACGTTTGTCTAAAAATACAACAAAATAATGTGTAGAGTTTGATTTAGCGAGGGCAAGATTAAAATTTTTGCTTCAGTTGATATGTTGATTATTGTTGCGGCCATAAGCGCATTTAATTAATTAATTTGAATTTAAACAATAGCCAACTGCCAATTATTGTAACTAGTATTAATACCATTGTGAATTATCCATTTTCCATACTGAATTAATCAATGAATGAATTGTTATCTCTTATCGATTAGCAATTAGATACATATAAGAAGAAGCTTTAGAATGTATGTTTTCTAATTTGAGCGTGCAACGCGTGCAGTCATTTAAATGAAGAGAAAAAAGGATCCAAATACAGCGGAGCAGCTTTCAATAATTCTACGGGGATTAGTTTCACAACTAGCTGAAGATTTGGGACGAAACAATTATGATATTTTAGAAATTCCTAAAAGAGGAAATTCAGACGATAGCCTTAAATGGGGAATTTTGTTATGCAATAAAATCTTATGACTTATTAAAAAAAAACATTACAAAGTTCAATGAAATAAAATTACAAGTCATTGCTTACTAGTACCGTCTACAACGAGCTTCCCAAACACTTGCTGAGTAATCACCCAACCAAATTAAAAGTAATTATTTATAGAATTGACGCATTCTAGTCGTAGAAAAGTTACCTTTTAGTAATTAGGTATGTTACCGCTTCCTAATTCCACCAATTTATGCGTAATTTCCATTGCTGAATTATCAAGGATAAAAAAACAACGAACATTGATTTAACAATTACTTTTAAAAAGTGTCAACTTTTATAGATACTATAGATATTATAGAAAAGATTATTATTGTAATTTGAACAAATTCTCTGCCTCACAAGTTATCATTTCTTATGTTTTTCGTAACATATATTTATTTGTTAAATAGAGAAGCTATATTAAAAATATTTGAATCATTTTATGAAAGGGGCATTATCAATTACAATTCCGCATAAATGCATCGAATTCTCAAATGAGAGCAAGCCTTAGACAAATCTTTTATGTTTTTCTATATATTGACAGTCCCATTAGTCGACACAAATAAAATGTTTGATTAATAATAATTAAAGACTTGTGGTTGCAACGAATTGAATCATTTGTTTTACTTATTCATATATATTTTTACTTTGATTCTAATTGATTTAGAGGTGTGCAGATATCGTATAATTCCCAAAAGTAACACTGCAATACACAAACTACAAACAACTAACTGATTTTAATGTTATATGTATACATATTTCCTTGTATAGCATAGTCAATTGCCATTAACAAATGCGTTATATTTTCAGCCGAGTTTGTAAAATACACACAACATTGCTTATTGCTTTAGTTTTAAGTTCCATTATTTCTATTATTTATTTATCGAAAACTCTTCGGGTAACCTTCGTTCTCAGAGGCTAAGCTGAGAAAGGCGTGTACGAGTATGTGTCTTATCAGACATCGGCGAAAAGCAGGCCAAGCGGGGTTATCAGCAAAGCTGAATAATACAATATTTGTTTGTGTTTTATATTTAAAAATTGCTCGCTGATTAATTCAATTGAAAGTAATACACATATACTATGTATATATATATATATATACTTGTATGTATGTATATGTGAATGTCTCTATGTATTTACAGCGCTTCGTTTTTCAAGTCCACTGAAAAGTCTCTTTGTCAGAGTCCGATCATAGCAGCGAAACAGTCAACATTTGTGCCTTGCCTTGAACGGAACGATAGATTGGATTAAAGCTTGATATTTCTTTGCTTTTTTTGTTGTCTCTGTAGAATGTCACACTTGAAGACTTTGTTGTTGTGTGCACTGTGCCTGTGCATGGCGCAGGGCAGATGCGAGGCTTTACTGTCGTTTCGATTCAGTAACATTGATATCTTCAATATATTTGGCGGCGGAGGTAATGAGTTTGGACAGCGCTCGGGTCGAACGAGCGCCACAGACAGGCCAGTGTTGGAAAACGATGTGGATCCGAATATTGTGGAGGATTCGTTTCTAGATACGGTAAGGCAGTTCCATTGGCGAGAGTTGGAAAGCTTCTAACAATAACTGCACTTCATTTCTATATTGCAGTACGGTCTGATCCATAAGTATGGCTATCCGGCTGAGAAGCATACAGTGGACACTCCTGATGGCTATATCTTGACGGTACATCGCATTGCCCGGCCGGGTGCCACACCCGTACTGCTAGTGCACGGTCTCTTGGATAGCTCAGCCACTTGGGTCATTATGGGTCCGAACAAGGGCTTGGGTGAGTTTTTAGTTCATTAACAAAGAATGGCAATTCCAACTTAATTTTTGTTTCTCAGCTTATTTGCTTTATGATCAGGGCTACGATGTTTGGATGGCAAATGTGCGCGGCAATACCTATAGTCGTCATCATAAGAAATACTCCACATCCCATGGCAAATTTTGGGACTTTACTTTCCATGAAATGGGAAAATATGACATTCCAGCTACAATCGATTATGTCCTCAGCACGACAAATGTGACGAAGCTGCATTATATTGGACATTCTCAGGGCACTGTGGTGTTTTGGATAATGGGCAGCGAGCGTCCGGAATATATGGATAAAATCATACTCATGCAGGCCTTGGCTCCGGTCGCCTTTCTAAAGCATTGCGAAAGTCCGGTGGTGAACTTCTTATCCACATTCCAGGATCCCATGAGCGTAAGTCCTTAAGTCGTTATTGGAATAAGAGTAGAATAAGTGATTGCCTAAAATTGTACCTAAGAGGAAGTATTAGTCGCAAATGAAGCTGAAGTTCGTAACGGCCTCCCGAACCTTTCACAAATGTGCCAAGGCAGGCAATAAGAGAACAAGCTCAAGAGGATTGACTTCATAAGCGATAACAACCAGTTTAGGTTTCTTCTGTTCCTATCCCTTCTTCAAGAGCTGCTTCTACCCCAGTGCCAACTCAGGGAGGTATTTTTCCAAGAGATTAAATAGCTCACAGTTTTAAGGCCTTTTTTGGCCAAAATTTTTGACCGATGCCAATGTGTAAGTCTGGCTTCTTTATTTAATATAAATTCAAGATATTACTTCACAATATGTACTTTTAAGTTATAAAATCAGCAAAGCTAAAAGTTAAAAATAAAATAAACTTGTGCAGCCTGGATATTAGGTTAGTCCACCTACTCAGTTTGATGAATGTGGGTTCAGCCATCTTCGAAATCCAGGCGTTCATCCAGGGAGACCTCGTGCTCATTGGGAATATATATACATCTTCTTTTTCCACACGTTTCACAAACCTAATATACCCTTTTTACGCTTCAAGTACAGGTTATAGAAATTAGGTATAACTTCTTACATATTTTTGGACGATTTTAGAGAATTTTTACTTATGCGCCATTGGTTTGGATATCTTTCAATTTCCAGTTGCTGCTTAAGCTTATCGGCGTGCACGAGTTTCTGCCCAAAAACGAGTTCATCACCATGTTCAATCAAATCATCTGCGATGAGACAACCCTCACCAAGGAGATCTGTTCCAATGTGATATTCCTGACCACCGGCTTCGACAAGTCGCAGTTGAATGAGACGATGTTGCCGGTAATTGTGGGCCACGATCCCGCTGGCGCTTCCACCAAGCAGATGCAACATTTTGGCCAGCTTAAGCGCTCGGGCGCCTTTCGGCAGTTCGACTATGGCTGGCTAAGGAATCAATGGCGTTACGATTCTATAACGCCACCAGCCTACAAGCTGGAGAACGTGAAGGCCAAGGTGGCTTTGTACTACTCTAAAAACGATTGGCTAGCTGCGCCGGCGGATGTGGAGACGCTGTACCGCAAGTTGCCCAACGTGGTCTCCAAGTATTTGGTCGACTATAGCCGATTCAATCATCTGGACTTCATTTGGGCCGTGGACGCTCGGGAGCTGTTGTGGGAGCGCGTCTTCCATGCCATGAGAAAACATGAGCGAAAAACGGAGGAGTAGAGTAGTCTAAGTGCATCCTCTCTTCGTAAACTTACAGTATGTACTGCACATGTGCAACAAATTAGCTAAGAGTCTTATTTATCGTAGAATAAATTTTTATAAATACGTATACTATAATTTACCATAATTACTCCCTAGTCGCATTCCGGCCATTCAAACATCTGATCTTAACGTGTACAGACAAGTTTTTCCACTTTCTCCCATTGTTTTTCCGCAGGTAGGGGCTGGAGAACATGTAACCTGTTTGTTCTGTGCTAATTAATTTTATTGACAATTTAATATGACACGTTTCGCTTGCAACTTGCAATTTTTTTTTGCATATCAATTAGCGTTCGCGTGCACAGACATTCCCAGACTTGTGCCCATCGGGGTTCTCGTAGCTATCAAATATAGTCGCTGAGCACGTTCCCAGATCAGTACCAGAAGATCGCGCGTTGTGTACGCTTCTAGTCGCCTCAAACAAATGAAAATAAAACACGCCTAATTTTAAGCAAATGTTCCGTTTAATGGAAAATGGAAAAATTTCCTTTAAAAAATGTGTAATCAATGAGTCCAACAAATAAATAAACTCGGATATTTTGTGGCAAATAAATATCATAAAGAAATCGTTTCTAATGGTTAATAAAATTTTGGAAAAACGTTTGATATTGTGAGTTTCAGGCAGCTTCCATAAAAAAGTTGGAATCGAAATAATATTATACAAAACAGTATATTTATCTAGATTCATCCAAGCATGGAATAAATATCATAAAGAAATCGTTTCTAATGGTTAATAAAATTTTGGAAAAACGTTTGATATTGTGAGTTTCAGGCAGCTTCCATAAAAAAAGTTGGAATCGAAATAATATTATACAAAACAGTATATTTATCTAGATTCATCCAAGCATGGAATAAATATCATAAAGAAATCGTTTCTAATGGTTAATAAAATTTTGGAAAAACGTTTGATATTGTGAGTTTCAGGCAGCTTCCATAAAAAAAGTTGGAATCGAAATAATATTATACAAAACAGTATATTTATCTAGATTCATCCAAGCATGGAATAAATATCATAAAGAAATCGTTTCTAATGGTTAATAAAATTTTGGAAAAACGTTTGATATTGTGAGTTTCAGGCAGCTTCCATAAAAAAAGTTGGAATCGAAATAATATTATACAAAACAGTATATTTATCTAGATTCATCCAAGCATGGAATAAATATCATAAAGAAATCGTTTCTAATGGTTAATAAAATTTTGGAAAAACGTTTGATATTGTGAGTTTCAGGCAGCTTCCATAAAAAAAGTTGGAATCGAAATAATATTATACAAAACAGTATATTTATCTAGATTCATCCAAGCATGGAATAAATATCATAAAGAAATCGTTTCTAATGGTTAATAAAATTTTGGAAAAACGTTTGATATTGTGAGTTTCAGGCAGCTTCCATAAAAAAAGTTGGAATCGAAATAATATTATACAAAACAGTATATTTATCTAGATTCATCCAAGCATGGAATAAATATCATAAAGAAATCGTTTCTAATGGTTAATAAAATTTTGGAAAAAACGTTTGATATTGTGAGTTTCAGGCAGCTTCCATAAAAAAAGTTGGAATCGAAATAATATTATACAAAACAGTATATTTATCTAGATTCATCCAAGCATGGAATAAATATCATAAAGAAATCGTTTCTAATGGTTAATAAAATTTTGGAAAAACGTTTGATATTGTGAGTTTCAGGCAGCTTCCATAAAAAAAGTTGGAATCGAAATAATATTATTCAAAACAGTATATTTATCTAGATACATCCAAACAGATTGTAGTTGTGAACTCTTCAATACCCACTCCCACAAACAAGTAAAAACCTTTTTTAGGGTTTACTATATTATTTAAAAAATTATTTTAAAAAAAATTTAATTGATTTAATAAATTAATTAAATTAAGCAAAAAAAATTACTACATTGATACATAAGTGGAGACATATGTTTATGTACAGTTTTAACAGCATAATTTATCGTGTCTATTCTTGTTTATGGATACCAAGTTTGGCTATTCTAGCTCCTTTACTTTTTGAGATCCTTGCCATCAAACAGACAGACTGACATTTTCATATCGAGTCGTCTTGTCATACTGATCAAGAATATATATACTTTGTGGGGTCTACCAGGCCTCCTTCTGTGTGCTACATGAACACTCGCACAAAACTAATATACCCTTTGGGTACAGGGTATAGAAACATACAGATATTCCCTAAATTACTTCCTATGCGATATACAAGTCTATTGGATATGTATTTCAAATTCATAACTAAGCACAATTTTCCTCTGGTAATCCATGTAGGCACGATCGACTAATCAGGCTGGCATTGCAATCAGACGAATAATTATTGTATGGAACGACATTACAAACAAGTAAAAAAGCTAAAGTCGGGTGTCCCGACTTTGAAATACTCTGTACATATGTTTATAATAATTATAGAAAATAAAAAAAATTAAGAAAAAAAAAATTGGATCGATTTCACCTCTCTCGGTATTCGAACTCACGTAAAGGGTGTATAATTGCACATTTACATAGCAATTGCGTCTGTGTGAGTGTATGTATACCCATGCGCATCTATTCGTGTCTGTGTAAACATGTGTGCAGTCAACCAAAGCACCATCATCAACAACAGCCGCGGGCAGCGCTTGAGCAGCGCTGCAGCAGCAAATATATTTATGGTTCTTGTTAAATCGGTCTATCATAATGAAACTTGGCATACGGACACATAATAACCAACCGGGGGTATTTGCAAAATTTGAGTTCGAAATTCCAAGAATTACGGGAGTTACGATTTGCATGGGAGAGGGGGGAGGGAGGGAAATTCCAAAATATACATTTTCTGCGTATTCACATAAGGCATCTGAGACTAAAATTTGGTGTTCCTAGGTCTTATAGTCTCCGAGATATAGGCGATTATACGAATGGAAAATCGGGAAAACCCCCATAGGGGGGAAGTGGGGGGGAAAATCAAAAAATAAAACAAACTCGTATAGCGTACATACGTAAGGCATCTTTGTGCAAAATTTGGTGTCTCTATCTCTTATAGTCTCTGAGATCCAGGTGCTCATACGGACGGACAGACAGACAGACAGGGCTAGATCGACTCGTCTTGTTACGCTGATCAAGAATATAAATACTTTGTGGGGTCTGCCACGCCTCCTTCTGCCTGCTCCCGCAAACTAATATACCCTTGTACATTTCATGTACAGAGTATAAAAATAAAACATGCACACTACCATTTATACATTCCTGAAAAGATGTTCAATAAGAAGAAGAAGATAAAAAGTGCTCATCTATTTCATATAACCTTTCAAGCTTAACTTCCTCATAAATATGTAGACAAGCAATAGACAGCAGCATGCAATTCTCAAATTAATTTAAAATAACCGATTTGATATTTTATTCAACGGGGCATTGCAGATAGCACGATAATCTTTGCGTGCCTGCTAAAACCAGAAACTGACGCTTTCCCGATATGTTCCGAGTAGGAGACAAATAGAGAGAAAGAGGCAGAGGGAGAGCTGAGCAACTAGATGCCAATATGCTAACAAATGGCAACATTTTGCGACTATATGTCTGCCTAGTCTTTCTATATTTGCATACAAGTTTTGCTCGGGGCTATCTGTTGGAATATGATAAAGCTATTATAGAAGATGCGCAGCTTAAAACGGTAAGTCTATTCGACTGTGCATGAGCACTCACTCAGAAATTGGTAATTGCATTTGATTTAGCACGAACTTATACGCAAGTATGGCTTAAAGGCGGAAGTACACAAGGTCTATACCAAGGATGGGTTCGTGCTGACCGCCCATCGCATACCCCGACCCGGTGGTCAGCCCGTGCTGTTGCTGCATGGCTTGGAGGATAGCTCCGCCACATGGGTCATGATGGGTCCAGAACAAGGCTTGGGGTATCTGCTATTCGAACGTGGCTACGATGTGTGGATGCTGAATTCCCGCGGAAACACCTATTCGCGCAAACACCTGAGACTGCATCCATTCATGTCACAATTCTGGGATTTTTCATTTCACGAGGTTGGCATCTACGATCTGACCGCTAGCATAGACTATGTCCTGGGCAAGACCAACTTCAAAAAGTTGCACTACATAGGTCATTCGCAGGGCACCACATCGTTCTTAGCCTTGGGCAGCGACCGACCAGCCTATATGAAAAAAATAAAAGCTATGCATGCCCTGGCACCGCCGGCTTTCTTCGATAACCTTGGGTCACCAATTGCAAAAGCACTTGCTCCATATGCTCGCTCTATATATGTAAGTTAATAGGAGTTTCTTTGAATGATATCAAAATAAATAATCCTTTCAATTCCGGACCTAGTTTCCATTGCTAGAAAGCGCCCGAACTTTCCTCTTCCCGATGACTATATCCCCAAGTTGAATATTACATATTTTGGCTTATCTCGAATTGTTTTAAATTTTAAAATACATACTTATATTCTTTCCTCATCCAGACCCTATTAAAAATTATAGGAATTCATGAAATCCCCGTGGAGAGCGAAGTATGGCGTCGCTTGATATATCAGATTTGCAGTTTCGCCTTTCGAAATACTTGTACCTTTTTATTTTTCTTCGTGAATGGAGGAAATGAGGCGCAACTTAATGTGACGATGACGCCGATTATCGCGGCTCACGCGCCCGCAGGATCCTCGGCAAAGTCAATTGCACACTATGCCCAGCTCTATCACAGTGGTGGCTTCTACAAATATAACTATGACACTCCAGGAGAGAATCGAAGGCGGCATGGAACGTTCAAGGCGCCAGAGTACAATCTGACAAATGTCGATTGCAAGATGGCTTTATATTATGCCAAGAATGATCTTGTAGTTGCGGTAAAGGATGTGCAAAGACTGCGATCCATTCTCCCCAATGTGGTGCACGATGAGCTGATTGCCTACGAGAAATTCTCTCACGTCGACTTCGTTTGGGCGATCGATGCCAGGAGCCTGCTTTATGAGAGTCTGTTGGATGTTATGCAGAGAGTTGACAATGGCGAATTGTGATATATAGTATATGTTATTATTAAGGACTATAAATACCGTTAAAAGGCTTGCCATGATGAACATCTTATTCTTTCCAAATTGTATTGTAATTGTTTGTGAAAATACTGCCTTACTGTAGTCAGAAAATGAATTGAAAGCTGCGCAAATAGTATTAAGTAAATAATTGTAATTAGGAATTGTGTTTATTTAATAAAAAGCGTCATCATTTTGGTATCGGATCAGTTTAAACTGTGTAGCTATTTAAAGAGATTTTCTGTTATGGTATTACGTTTTATTAATAATCATGAACATTTATGTATAGATAATAAATATATAAAGTTTATATATTAATTTATTTGATCATTTTACGTGAATTGCTGTGGATATGTAATATGTATATATTCTTCATATCGTCCTAATAAAATCACGGTAAAGAGGAAACTTTTGAAGTACATTTTTTCTGTGATGGGGGGAGTGGGGAGTGCATCAAAATAATAATAATAATAAAATAAATAAAACAAACTCGTATAGAGTACACATGGTATAAGGCATCTGTGTACAACATTTTGTGTCTCTATCTCGTATAGTTCCTAAAATCCAGCTGTTCGTACAGACGGACAGACGCCTCCACCCACAAACCTGATATACTGTGTATCTTTTAGGTATAGAGAATAAATATTTCACACTGATATTGCGCTAAACGAACAATAAACAATCTTCGGTGAATTGCTAGAAAAACAAACCGTAGTTAATTTGTATACCCTGTATGAGATTGTGCAAAGGGTGCTATAGATGTTATAGGCAATACAGACATGTCTTTCTGTCTGTTCGTATGAACGTCGAGAACTTTTAAGCAATAAAAGCTATGAACTTGGTATGCACGAATTCTACGAGCTCTATGAACTCTACATATGTACATAAGTAGAGCTAGTTTATTAGCAGAGTCGGACTGGCATAGACATGCTACTCGTTGTCTAATAATGTGCATATTGCTCAGAAATGTACCTAATGTACCTAACTATTTATCATGTGGAACAACCAACCAATAGAATTGTATGTACGTTTCCTCTCAAATCACTCGAACAATGCTTTTAACAAAATCCTTCCTTGGTATCATAGACCTGTGAGCCTTACTACTGATATTGTTTCGTTATACTCACATACATACAAGTATATAAAAAATAGCACGAAAGATGACATATAGTTGCATATTAATAGCACAATCAAATACCATTGAGTGCAATTAAAATTGCATATTTTCAACGTGCATTTCAAAAGCTTGCCAAGCACTTAAGCACACACACACACATGCTCGAGTTACTTATGGATGTGTGTATTGTGAAAATGATTGTAATTTGGTGCAGTGGCAGGCAAAGGCGTAGGCAGCTTTTTCCAAAGGGGGGCCCAACAAATTTAAATTTTGATTAAATATGAATGGACGATGAGTTAAAATATAATAACTTATGCATATGATCAATAGAAAAGTTTCAACAAATCCAACAAAGTTCAATTTTAAGGCCAAATAGTGCGCCATAATAATGATGTGTGGCCGATTTCATATGCAGAAAATTTGGAGGGGGAACCATTGCACCCCCCTGCCACCCTTGCCTACGCCCTCAGTGGCAGGCATTGAACCATAAAATCAGATTAAATATTTAAAACAGATAACGTAGCTGTGGCTTACCAAAAGTGTTTGCATATGGCCAACTTCATATATACTTGCATATATATATGATAGTTTATAGATACATATCTGTCTGCAGTTGTGGGTGTGTCTTTGAGAACATCAACATGGGCAAACGAGCGTAGAATTTATTGCAAGGACATTTTATTTAAATTTTCATGCTGACAATGCCATCGGCTTCTGAAAGGAGCCGCATATGTGTGGTGTGTGTTGTGGAGGGGGGAGGGTAGTGCTGCAGGCTGTATTGAACGTGTCTGCCAATTGCTGCTGCCAAAAAGTACTTGCAGCATAAAAATTGCAAGTGGCAGACTTATTCGTGCATATAAGCATGTACGAGTATGTGAGTGGCAAGCGCAAGAAAATAAAAGTGTTATTTATTTAAAGCAAACTTAATCAAGTTATTGCTGCCTTTGAATAACACAAACAAAGCCATTCAACAATGCATGAAAATCAAGAAAAATGCGGCAATAACTGATGAATAGGGTACGCACTCATGAGCATAACATGTTCCAAGTTTTGATTGCAATGAATGCTTTACTGACGTCACAAAAACAAGAGAAACCTTACAGCAGGATTAATTGGGGTGGCTCTCTACTGAGGCAAAGGATAAGCTCAGATTCACCAATGAGGAACATATTCTACACTGACTACAACATGTCTTTGAAGAATATATTAGGCTTGTCCTTGATGCCCACAAAAGTTTTTAATTTAAAGAGTAGCGGCTAATATTTTGTTTCTTTTCCTTTAGCTTTACAAGCGAAACTAAAATACAGGATTTGTTAGATACGGCTCTCAACGGATATAAAAGGAAATAATAAGTCTTATAAGCGACTAAAATTTGTCAATTAAGAAATTGATATCCCTGCCTTAAATGTACAGATAAACCGTTGAAATAAAGAGTATAGGCAGACATCTTGTCCTAAATTATGAAATGATTTCCTTTATGTTTATGCCTTAATGTTGAAATTTGTCAAATGTATTGTTTTTAAATATGTGTAACAAATTAATTTTTATGTACAAGTATTGTTGATCTGTTCAAAGTCTCCGAAACAATTCAGCGATGGCTTAAAAAAATTTCCCAACATTACTTTGAAATGTACGCCTGGATTTTTAAAATGTAAAAAAAAAGATTGTTTGCTATCTATTTCTGGGGAGGTATCTGATAAGTATTAAGCACTTCATCAACAATAAATAACAAAAGCTAATTAAATCATAATAATAATTATATCAATATGTGTGGGATTATATTAATCCCATTTTAACGAAGCTAATAGCTAATTTAATGAAATTCAATGAAATAAACGCCTTTCATACGGAACAATTACTGAAGCCATTCGATGATTTTACGATTTATTAAAAACACAAGCCGTCTCTGCGCTTCTCACCTAATCCATTTCAATTAAAGCACAAAGAGCGGATTTATAAAATAAATGTGTCAAGTCTGTGGATAGAATATTTAAACACTAGACAAATGCAAAGGTTAGAGATCCTTATTTTTGTGAGAATGGGTGCAGGGTATTTAAGAGTTGAGCTCACACCACCTGGCATTTCTTTCCTGTTATTGTTGCTTAACCTCGTATATTAATATATATGTATATTTACTCTTATGCAAGCCAACAGTATAAACTGGAATGCTGAGAAACCTGCTACTACTGACCCATAATTGAGCAGATGTGTTTTTTTTTTCAGGAAATAAAAAACTACATACGCGTTGCAACTAATAATTGCTCATAATTTTCTAATTTATAAATAAATGGCTGTATGATCGGCCAATAATTGCTATACTAATTATATGAATCATAAGTTCTCTTTGGATTCTGCTTCATTTGTAATTTATCATTTTAAGTTGCTTTATTTGTTGTTTACATCCCCACAGCTATTTATTTATGGCATAAATAATAAAAAAATGCCAGCTGGACGGGTTGCTTTGTACAAAGTCCCATCGAGTGAATGAAATAAGACCGCATTTGATATGAACATATCGACGTTCATAGAGAATATAGATGAGTTCATTAATATACGTATGTGTATGTTTTTTATCGTGACATTTATATGACAATTAATTAGTCACATAATTCATCGCACTTTAAATTCAACGTTGGATAGGAACTGCAGGCAGATATAGAAGCCAGCCGGCCTGCAGCATCATTTCATAAACAAGTAACGATTTAAAGAAAAAAAGTTTAAAAATTAATATGATTGAGATTTTTGACAGATACCAGATACCACAAGAAAAAGAAAGTAGAAAATCTGTACACAGCCTGGGGACAGGAATTTGAGAGCTACTTGTTTTCCAGCTAAGCCTTAACCTCAATTGGATGTTGTTTGTTGTTTGCGGTCAGCAGAGGACGATGTCTGGGTATCAATCATGTCACTTGACCGAGCGGAAATCGAGTTTTGCATGTGCTGTGACACTGGTTCTCTGGTTTTATGACACTTGCCGGCTGCATCGAAATTAAATTTGCCTCAATTCGTGTGTGAAATAAAGTCGTTAAAATGCTCGGGGTCTTTGTTTCGTGCATTTACATGTTGCCCCTTCCGCTTAGAAGGCAGGGAGTGGCAAAGACAAGCCTTGGCCAGCATCGAGGCATTGTGCGTGTGTCCTTCTGCTGGCTGCAGTCGCAGTGATAAGAGCTTTCCCCACCAAACCACAATATATCCTCACTGTTCTCGGCTTTATGCCAAACAAAAGCCAACTGCGAGCTCTGACTGAGTTCCTGCCCTTCAAGCCCAAACCAATCGAAGTCATTTGAAGATTTGCGTTTGGATTTGCATTTGAATGGAAATGAAAGTTTGCTTTCTAGTTCGTTTTTTTTCGGTTTGTTTGTTTGTTTGTTGTTAGGTTAGCTGAGAAGCCTGTTATCGTGTGTGTGTGTGAGTGTGTCACATTGTCATGCAATTGTTGGCTTGTAAGCAACAACAACAATGCCGGCACCGAAGAGCGTAGTTGGTTCTAACTTATAGGCGTTAGTTCGATTATTTGGAATACTTGGCACTCATCTCTTTTTCGGGCTCGATTGAAATACCTGTAAACGAATTTTGGCAACCATTTTTATTATTCAGTTCTAACTTTGCTGCTTTTTAATTAAAGCTATAAACAGCATTCCAATAAAGGCACTCACTCTGTTAAAAATAAAGGAAAACTTGTAGCTCAGTGAAGAAGAGACCCGGAGAAAATACATATATACTATTATTATTTTTAAAATAATGTGACGTAGGTAAGTAAGTAGCTGCGCAGCTTTTTTATTCTCTATATAATCGCTTGAGGAACGTTCTATACAAAAACTTAGTCTTAAAAAAAATCACTGTACTGTTGGTTGTTTTTTAAATAATTATAGCAGAAGTATAAGACAATGTTTATTCTTGTTTTCAAAACATCTGCGTCAATATGGTGAAAAATTGATACTTATCTACTATTTTTTACAACTACTTGATTTTGAGTACCGTTTATATTTATATTTTAAATCTTACAGGAAAACGGTGTGGTTAGTTAGCTAATTGCATCTTAATGATAGAAAGAGTTAAGATGGGAATTGTTAAGCCTGTCTGAAATCAAGACGTTGTAATT